ATCCTGTATGATTAGTTTAAGAAATTGAACTAACCATCTAGTACTATAGCTGGCAATTAAATATCATCCCATATAGTGATCAGTTCATACCATACAAAGTTTAGGGATCATCCGGTACAATCAATGAAAAATTAAGGTTTTTTCATCTCGGATGATGGGAGGTGTTTAATTATCATACCATGCAGGAATTGGTTCATACAGTACGATCATCTCTGATCATCATATATGATTTTATTAAACAATTTAATCATAATTAAACCCCAATCATAGGATCAATTCATGCATGATTATCATAGATCGTAAGTACGATGATGATCATACGATATGATTAAACACATATTTTGAATATAAAAATATTACCTAAATTATAATTAGCAGTTATTTTGTTGATTATAATTGATCATCCTATACAATATAGATCATGCATTATAATGAGTTTAATCACTCTCAATTAATTGAGGGGCCCTAATTAAAGTTTTCTATTTTAACAAATCATACTATATGATTATTTCAAAAATAAATTTTTTCTGGCTCGCCAACTTACTCCCTTGAGTGTGTGTGTGCAAGGTTAGTTAGCTTAGTATCTACCATATACATGACTTAACTCAAGAAAGGTAAAAGTATATTGAAGTTGAAATTACAAACAGACTCAACCCTAATCTATCCAATATTGAGCTGAAAGTGAACGGTAGACCTGAAATGTTAGTGAGTAGAGCAAAATAGATATATAATGAATTAAAATATCATAATAAAAAGTCCAATAATATTTGTTATCATCTAAATCACAGTACTTGAGTTCATAATTGCAACATAAACTATCTCTTTAAACCCTTTCTCATAGAAAAAAGCACACCCTCAAATAGTCAAAAGACTCTTAAATGAATTAAGAGATATTTAAATATTAGGCTTCAAAAAAACCATAATTTTTTATTAAGCCGTCACATTTTGTATAGTGCGACTTGTAGATCATATAGTATGGTTAGTTCTAATATACCTTGTATTGTAAAATGAGTAGTGCTCAATATGATCAGTTAAAAAAAGTTGCATTGATCATCAATTACAAACCTTAACTGTACAGTATGATTAATTTAATTGAATTATATATCATCTTGGATGAATCCTGGGTGATTAATTATCGTCCTATTCACTTCTAAGTTTGTAAAGTACAAAGAGTAATTTTGTATAATGTGATCCTTAATTATAATTAATTTTGATTTTATTACTTAATCATGGGGATTAAATTAAAAAAAAATTAATGATATCGTAAATTACAATTAAAATTATCCAGTACGATTGAAATTGCCCAATATAATTATTTCAAAATTCAAAATATTACTTAATATTAAATGGTCAAACATACTACTAATTATAATTGATCAACCTGTATGATTTGTTTCATATTTTACAATTAGTTTTTTTTTAATTTAAAATTTATATGATTCAATTAAATATTTTAATTAATTTTTAATTTCGTAAATTTTATAGTACAATCTAGATCATCTAGTATGATCTTCAAAAAATTAAAATATGTAGTTTTACTCGCTTGGTGTATATGAACATGGTTTCTAAGCTTACTTACATCTTTTTATATTAACTAATTCAAGAAAAATAAAAATTATAGGTTTTTTCAAATACATATAACCAAAGAAACTAAATCTCAAGCCCTAATTCTCTGATGATGTTTAGTGTATGTTGAACATGAAATATTAACATCGCACCACGAGTAGAATGTTTATAACATATACACGAACGTTTGCTTATATATATATATATATATTATATATAAAGGTGTCTAATCTTAAACATTTAATGATTTAATTAGGGAAAATCAAGGTAAATTCATTGGCTATCTAACCCTTGTATATCTACACATAATCCACAACTTAATTCTCTTTGGATTCTGCAATGTGAACTTTCAAAACTTTAGGACAAAATCTGAGTTATAAGTTTGTGAATTCAATGGAGGGCACTGGAGAGTCCAAATGATTTCGGAAAAAATCAGGGGTATTTTACACATTCCTCAATAACCACTATTTTCCTAAATCTATAAAGGGTTTATATATAAAATTTCATCCACTAGATGATTAACTATAAATTTTCAAAGTTCTACTAAGATATTTGGAATTAAAATTCATAAATCTAACTATTACAAACATGGTTGCTAAGTGGATAGCACTTTTTGTGTAGTAGTCCCTAATTAATGAATTAATATGCAACAAATCATTATGATAATGTAACATTCTCCTCAATCCTTTGATTTGTGATAAAAAAAATGATGTTTACAGCTTTAAAACTATGACGGGATGCACAATAATTGATAAGATGTGACAAATACCATTGAGTGAAATCAAATGGGATGGACAATATTGATTTCATCTTCTACCTCTATCCTTATTTTTTATAGATTAATGTATAATTGCTTGATCTATGAATTCTACTCAATTGAATCCCTCCTAATTGATCTAGTATGATATAGATAATAGGAACCTTTAATAAAATGGTTAGATCACCATAGATTGAAAGTTCTCTTCATCATGTCCCATAACCTTATTCTAGTAAGTTCATGTTTGGGTTATACCTTAGTGTAGTTGTTGATAAATTAGGATTTTGCTTGGATTTGGTTTGTTTGGATCTTGGGAAAACTTCTTATTTAGGGATTGACTTGGGAAAGATCGAATTGAAAAGTGTTTCTTCGCCATCGAAATCTCATTGGAGCTCACTCCAATTCACATTAGGAGGCTCTTGGAGGTAGGGATTTGGAAGGAATTCATCACTCTCACTCTCAATTTACTTAGAGAGTATGACACGAAAACCTAGCACCTTTAGAAATAAGAGTGTTTGATGAGAATTAAAAATGTATATATATGGAATTTCATCCATCTGAAGCCATATTAGGCAGTTTAGCTAATTGAAATACATCCCCTATAGTGCAGGTAAATGTCTAGAGGAAGTTGGAGGCTTAAGGGTGACTTTTTATATTAGATGGTCATAATTAAAAGCAAATGAGTTTGAGTTCTATTAAAAACTTGGGCTCCCAAGTTTGGACTAGATTCAATTAAGTTTTAAGCAATGCATTGGGTCGCATGGTAGCTTTGATATAGTTTAACTGACTCTAATTTAGGTTAGCCTAAGTGGGTGACCCAAGCTACCTAAGGCCAAGGTTGGCTAAGGGAGTAGTTTGGGATATAAGCATGTTGTTGGCATAGGTTTGGGTCCAATGTTTGACAAAATTTGGGTTTGAATGCATATGAAGAGTGTATGTGTCACATAAGAAATTCCTAATTAGCTTGTTCAACCATTCCAAACCATGATGGGCCAAGGTTTCTAATGGGCTTGGGTGAGTTTTAAGAATTCTTTAGGGGGATTAGAACACTATGCTAAGGTTTAGATTTTGTTTGGACATTAAAAAGGGTGCATATGTCAAGTGAAGCATACTCAACCATGGTGAGTCGTGTTGATTCAATGGCTCATATTGTTTTAGATGTATTCAAGGAAGTTTTTAGGAGATTTTAGGGTCAAATGGCCAAGTTTAGGTTGGTAAGGTTAAGCCAAGTCCCCATTTTCATAGTTTTTTGACATTTTTGGTATTTTGCTAAAAGTTGGCCAAAGTAGGTTAGCCCAAGGCATTCAATGATCAATGATGGGTCAAATCATTTCAAGAAGGTTCTTTGAAGGGTTTGGCTCAACCTCTAGATCATGGACATAGGTTTGATCAAGTGTAACTGATGAGTGGCTGATAAGGATTTTGTTGCTACTAAATATGTGTGTGTGATATTCAAAGCTACATAATTGCATGGGTTGATCAAGTAATAAAGGATATTAGAAGAGTGTCAATCACACGAGGACTCAAGTGTGCTATAATTATCTTCAGTATTGCCTACTCAAGCGACAAAATTATTCTTACTCAATGAAATAAAGGTGATATATTAGATCTAGCCCATGTAAAGAAAGGTAGAGGTATACTTAAAAAGTCTTGATTAGAAAATATTAAAAATGACAATTTTTTATTAGATTTAAATGTGAATTTAACTCTTAGCAAGACACAATGGGAAAAAGAATTAATGTAGCTGACCCCACCTAAATCTCTTTTCTTTTAGGAAGCGCACTACTTATATATACATTTCTATTGATACTTAAATTTTATTTAATAAACATAAACAAACATACCCTTTTCAATAAAATAGATACGTCAACCACGTGCAATTTACTTGAAATGTTGACTGCGAGCAATGTGATATGATTAATTTAACTAAAACTTGCGATTTAAATTAATATATATTATATTAATATCGAATATTTAATTAAAAATTTTATTTTTTAGGAAAATTTAATTGAACATTATAAAATCCCTTATAAAACTTAGCATCAAACCTTTAATAAATATTTATTTAACAACAAATATATTTTTCGTACAGAAATAAATATATTAGAAATCAAAGTTATTCATTTTAACCATAAGAATTTAAAAGAGAAATATTCAAATTTATTCTATTACTAATTTGAACAAAATAAAGGAATATTACTTGTAAGAACTTACTTGAATAAACAACATATGAACTCCATTCTTATTTCTTCCTTATAGAACAAGCTGAAACCTGAGCAGCTTTAAAAATGTGGCAGAAAAGTTGTGGCAGACAAAGACAAAGTAGAGGATGAATCCATTTAATGCGGATGAATGAAGCACAACTGCCAAACCTAAACGTGCCCCATTTGACTAAACAATCCCATAACACCAAAATTGTCAATTATCAGCAGCATTTTTCGACAATTCATATTACATTTTTTGTGGTTGGAGAATATACCGGCGGTTTTCCTGAACCGTTAGTATAAATCAGGTACGAAATAAATTGTGGCTCTATTTTCTGTCGGCTAAACTTTCCGGCGGCTATAACAACCGGTAAATTCCGACGGTCAAAGCGCCGGCGACCGCCGGATAATTACCGGCGGCATACCGGATCCCATCTTTAACTTTATGCCCTCCATCACTAATTATAACTACAGACCGAAAAGAATTTGAATTCTTATTCATAAAAATGGAAACATACATTCAATGTTGCAAATCAATGGCTTATAACGCTTTGTATATGGTCTATAAATGTAACAAATCTTTAAGTAGCCATCTCTCCTCCTGAGCATCCCCAACTTAACTAGTAAACCTGCAGAACTAAAGAAGTAAAAGAGCTTAAGCGTCTCAACAATTATTGTCAGGGAGCTAATGGGTGTCCTAAGCTATCAAGGAAAAGCAGAATGAGACAGGAAGGTGAATTACAAAGAATTGATGAGGTGGGCTAAGGGAAAACATGGTGAAAATGTCCTTAACGTGTGAGGTAGAAGGGAAAAAGATAGTAAAAAATTGGGTTTAATGTAGCTTCCTCGGATCTGGCATTTGATTCAGTAAGGAGTTGGAGTTAAAGTAAAAAAATGGACCAATTCTAGATTCCATAATGTCGCAGCGAAAACTCCAGAACTTGCTGGCTGGGACAGATCATCTCCTTCACTTTTACGCCATTCTTGTAAATCTTGACTGTAGGTACAATCCGCACATTCTCGGCCTTGGCGATGGCCGGGCTCTCGGTGACTTCAACCTTCCATTCAAGCACAAAAAAGTTTCAGAATGATGACGATGAATTAAGCATACAAGACTATCTGAACTCAAAACTGCTTACCTTCATAAAGTTAAGAGATGGATATCTGGCACAAAGAGCCTCAACAATGGGAGTTGTTTGAGCACAATGATGGTTTGATGCAGACAAGAAATATACAACAGAAATACCTGCAAAGATGATGAGATTCTCAATCACTTGATCATCATTTAGCATAAATTCACTTAAAGATGAGAGCCAAGACATTTATGTGCGGTGATTTCACCATAATTTAGCATATATTATCAACTATTTACAAACCAGTGTGACATTTAAGTGTGCGGGGTTTCCATAAAAACATGAAGCCAAACCAAGCTTCCCGTAGGCATAACTTTTTTCTTTTATGCTTCTATTTTGCAGTATTAGGATTTTTGGTGTGATGAAGAGAAAAAATTAAAGTCAGAACAAATCTTGAAAGCAGCTACCACAAAACAATATTGGAGAATTGATATACATGCAATATATTTGCAAATTTAGCATCGGACTATTATATTTATTTAAATAACACTCAAATCTTTAAACCATATAAAAAATACTACTAATATTAACTATTTTGAAGTGAAATTACATCTTTTCATGAATATGTTTTGATGTGACTAAGATACTAAAGCATTATATAAATAAAAAATAAAACTTCCATGTTAGATATATAAATACATAAAATTATGTAATATATATCTAAATGCCCAAACAATGTTTTAGGTAACTTGCCCCAAAAAAATTATTACTGTTGTGTCCTGGAATATTTGCGGCAACAGAGAAATATATAATTTAACGTCTTAGCTTTGTACAAAGATTCAACACACAATCAGATAAAATAGATGGTGCAGCTGATGTAGAACTAAATGCATAGGTAAGTATTTAATGTTTGAAATTACACGCCTTCTAAATTAGAACAACAATAATTAAGTTAACTTTTAGCAATTATAAACAAATCTTGAAAACAAGCACAATGTGAGCTAAGCTTTAGGCCAAATTGCACGATAAGAGTTAGAATCATGAATAATCATTTTCAATCAAGCTTAACATAGCATGGGAAAGGAAATCCCTAAATTAACATTTAGATTATGTACTACTTAGATCCACTAACTCACACTTTTGATGTTTGGCTAAGCCTAGATAAGTTACAAAACCTTTATGATTCCACAATTTAAAAGGGAGAACTTAGAAAGGAAAAGACCTGGAGGAGAAATTCACCTTTATCAAGATTTGGAAATAATTTACTACTGAATGGGAGAAAGTTGTTTGTCGATAGCAGTGGCGAGGAAGAAGATGATCCTTTCGACGTAGTCTTCAATGGTCTGGTCGATCTCAAGTTGACGTCGAAGAACGGAGACTGGAAAATGTCAATCTACCCTTGATTGTTGTATACAAAACCATGATCAAGTTCTAGATCCGCCATTCATGGGTAGGGAGACTTCCCAAAGTTCTAGAGAGGGGAAGGTATTGCTTCTTCTTTCCTTCTTTTAGTGACGTATCAAGCCAAGGACAAGAGGTGGAGGGAGAGGTTAGGTGGTCGGCCAAGATCAGGGAGGGGGAGTTAATAATTTCATATTTGATTGGGATTGAAAGGGAATTTTTGAAGGGCGTTCCTTTGAAGAGGGAGTTGATTAGGATCTCAAAGGGGAAAAGGACTTAATGTAGGAGAGATATGGAAAGAGAGGCTGGCGGCATGCTATGGGGGAGTAGGGCTTTTAGGTGGGGATTTAAAGCTTGCCCTATTTAGAATCTTGAATTAGGAGAGATTGTTTTAAATCAAATCCCATTTAAAATTCAAATAAACTTGATTTAAGAAACTTTCCTAAAATAACTCATAATAGTTCAGGAAAGAAATTTCAATTAATATTTTCGTATTGTGGTTTGCATCCAATTTGGAAAGCATTAATGTTGTAATTTGAAATTTGGAGGCAAGGGTAGAGGAGCTGTGGCCGGCGGCTAGGTATAGTGTTAGGGTTGAAGACCGGCAACTAGATGGAGGGAAAGGCCTTGGGGCCGACAGCTTGTAAGAGGAAGGGGTTTTAGGGTCGGCGGCTTGGAGGGAGGGAAAATGTCCTTGAGGCCAGCGGCTAAGAGGGAAGAGAGAGGTAGGCCGGCGATTATGGAGGGGAAGTAGATCTTAGGGTTTAGGGAAAAGTGAGGAACCACGAATCCGGACGCTTCATGCGGTTGGTGGGTCAGCATTGACCTCACCTAGGGTCTTCAAACATGCTCAAACGCCCTCAACTCTCCAAGACACAATGCAAGAAAATTTTGTAATAATATTCATCATCCTCAAAAGATGAGGAGGCTTTAGGTTGCCCCATACAATGAAGGAAACAAAAGACAAACATGTCCCTTAAGGTTTAGATAGGACTATTCCCTCAAGTGAGGGTACAAAAGGAAAATATGCAATAATAAACTCAATACATACATAATAATAAATCTATTACAACTGATGACTCGAAAGTAAAGCGATGCAATCGTGGTTGTAGATCGTCGGCCCCATCTCTGGTAAACTCTCCAAAGTTGGATGTCCTCATCAGCAGCATTCATAAGTAATACCAGAGTTTTTATGTGGAAATCCATGAAAAAGGGGGAAAAACCACGGGGTCTCGCCCAGTTTGAAATGATCCACTAGTGTTTATAGTCGATTACAAATGAGGCCCTTCCTTGGGGGGAAGGCCTTAGTTCGATGTAGAAATATACATCATATGGAGTGCATTACTTGGTGGGAAATGGAAGAATCAATATTGTCATGTTTGTTTAGTTGGCAGGATCATAGTCGGTTGATGATAGAGATCAAAAAAACTATTGTATGGCGACGGAGGTCAAAAGGATTGTAGTCGGCGAAGGTAGCCGGAAGGACCATAGTCGGCAAAGGTAGTTTGAAGGACCATAGTCGGAGAAGGAGATTGGAAGTACCATAGTCAGTGGGCAACAGAGGTTAGAAAGACTGTTGTTGGCGGGCGAAAGAAGTCGGAAAGACCGTTGTCTGGCGACGAAGGTCAGAAGGATCGTGGTCGGTGAAGGAAGTCAGAAGGACCGTAGTTGGCAGGCGATGGAGGCTGGAAAGGCCATTGAATGGAGGCAGAAGTCATAAGGATAGTAGTTGGCAAAGGAGGTCATAAAGATCGCAGTCGACGGGCGATGGAGGTTGGAAAAATAGTTGTCTGTGGGCAATGGTGGTCAGATAGATTGTTGTCTGACGACCTTGCCTAATTGAGGTCGAGATTAAGAACTTGCCTAAGAAGTAGAAGTCTAGCTAAGGAATGTATAAAGCTTGAAATTTATTAAAAGCATCGTTGCATTTGCTAGAACTTTATGATCCCAATATACCGTCATGGATATTGAAAGAGTTGGAGGAATTTTTTTGACCCTGGTTGTAGTCATGGTTGCCCCCCTAGTCCATATTTAATTCCCATGAAATTGATGCAGCAATAACTGATGCCAGAACATTAATCCGAATGACTTTTTGAGGTTGGAGCAAAAATGGTTGCCCCCCTAGTCGGAAAACACATTTACAATGACGGCGCCAAACTATTGCGTCCTGGAATATTCACGGTAACAGAGAAATATATAGTTTAATGTCTTTGTATTGCAAGAAAATCTAACACAATCAGATAAAATAGAGAGTGCAGCATTTATAAGAGACACCATAATTTTTTATGTGGAACCCCATGAAAAGGGAGGAAAATCACAGGGTCTCGCCTAGTTTGAAATAATCCACTAGTGTTGTAGTCGATTACAAATGAGGCTCTTCCTTGGGGGGAAGGCCTTAATTTGATGTAGCAAATATACATCATCTAGAGTGCATTACTTAGTGGGAATTGGAATAATCAGTACTGACATGTTCATTTAGTCGGCAGGACCATAGTTGGCTAATGATAGAGGTAAAAAAACTATTGTCTGACGACGGAGGTCGAAAGGACCATAGTTGGCTGGCAACGGAGGTTGGAAAGACCGTTGTTTGGCGACGAAGGTCAGAAGGATCGTAGTCGGCGAAGGAGGTCGGAAGATTCGTAGTCGGTGGGCGACAGAGGTTGGAAAGATCATTGCCGGCGAGCGACAGAGGTCAGAAAGACCGTTGTCAGGCGATGGAGGTTGGAAGGACCGTAGTCAGTGAAGGAAGTCAGAAGGACCGTAGTCAACAGGCGACGGGGGTTAGAAAGACTGTTATTGGCGATGGAGGTCGGAAGGACCTTTGAGGTTGGAGAAAAAATTGCCCTCAGTCGGGAATCACGTTTCCAATGACGGCGTCAAACAGTTGAGTCCTTGAATATTCACGGCAACAGATAAATATATAGTTTAACGTCTTAGTATTGTACGAAAATATAATACACAATCAGAGAAAATAGAGTGCAGCATTTATAAGAGACACCAGAGTTTTTTATGTGGAAACCCTTGAAAAGGGAGGATAACCATGGGGTCTCCCCTAGTTTGAAATAATCCACTAGTGTTGTAGTCGATTACAAATGAGGCCCTTCCTTGGGGGGGAAGGCCTTAATTTGATATAGCAAATATACATCATATATAGTGCATTACTTGGTGGGAATTAGAAAAATCAGTATTGACATGTTCATTTAGTCGGCAGAACCATAGTTGACTGATGATAGAGGTAAAAAAACTATTGTCTGTCGACGGAGGTCGGAAGGACCGTAGTCGACGGAGGTCGGAAGGACCGTAGTCGACGGAGGTCGGAAGGACCGTAGTCGACGAAGGAGACCAGAAGGATCATAGTCACCGGGCAACAGAGGTTGGAAAGACCGTTGTCTGGCGATGAAGGTCGGAAGGACTATAATCGGCAAAGGAGATCGGAAGATCTGCAGTCAGCGAGCGACGGAGGTTGGAAAGATCTTGTCGGCGGGCGACAGAGGTCAGAAAGACCCTTGTCTGACGATAGAGGTCGGAAGGACCATAGTCAGTGAAAGAAGTCGGAAGGACCATAGTCGATAGGCGACGGAGGTTGGAAAGATTGTTATTGGCGATTGAGGTCGGAATGACCATAGTCAATGAAGGAGGTTGAAAGGACAGTTGTCGACGAGCGACGGAGGTCGAAAAGACTGTTTTCTAGCGATAGAGGTCGGAGAACCGTAGTTGGTGAAGGAGGTCGAAAGCACAGTAGTCAACAGCAGACGGAGGTCGGAAAGACCTTTGTCGATGGCATCGATTAAAAAGGCGTTCGAGGCGGACGCCTCGAGGCGCGCCTCGAATCGAGGCGGAGGTCGGGCGAACTGAGGCTTAAGCCTCGAATGTCCGGGCGAGGTTTACGCCTTTTTCTACGGAGGCGTACGCCTCAATATGTGAGGCGTCGAGGCGCATCGAGGCAGCGCCTCGAAAGGGAGAAAGTTACCTTCAAAGCCAGCGAGCCAACGAGCTCTCATTGTTTCTTCTTATCAAAATGTCGTAACTTATGATCCGACAGGAAGGGAAAGTCGTCGAAGGAGCGCAGTCGAACAGTCACAAAGGAGCCAAAGAAGCGACGCGTGTAATCTCTACACCTCCTATGAAGCAACGAAGCCGAACAACAAGGACGAAAGGAGAAGATGAAAGGCAAACCCTAGACGCAGCAAAGTTATTATTGATTAACTTAATTAATATAATTTAAATATTAATAATTAAGCAAATTAATTAAATACTTAATAGTATAATTAGTGCATAAATTAATTGACTAATTAGTAATATAATTATTAATTAAATATTAATATAATTAGCCTAGTTAATATAAATTAAAATATATATTATTAAATATATAATTAATAGTATTAATAATAATTATTGAGTAGCTTGTATCGCTCAGTACATGCGGTACCGAGCCAGTACCACTCGGTACTGAGCAAGTATATGCTCGGTACTGAGCGGTACATGCTCGGTACCACTAGGTACACGCTCGGTACCAAGCCAGTACCACTATTACATGCTCGATATTGCTCAGTACATGCTCGGTACCGAGCCAGCACTGCTCAGTTCCGAGCGGTATATGCTCGGTATCGAGCAGTACATGCTCAGTATCGAGCGGTACATGCTCGGTACCGAGCGGTAGATGCTCGACACTGTTAATTACTTTATTTTTATCATTTTTTAGGCTTACGCCTCGATCCGCCTCGAGGCTTACGCCACGCCTTGATTCCCGATTTCGCCTTTTAAAACGTTGGTCGATGGGCAACGAAAGTCGGAAGGACCGTAGTCAGTGGACGACAGAGGTTGGAAATGTGAAACTCCTTAAGAATAAGAAGTTAAATTCTTAAACATCGAGGCACCTTTTGGCGTAATTGTTGGAATTTCATTAAGAAACTCCACAGTTAAGTGTGCTGATCCCAGAGTAATTTTGGGATGGGTGACTTACTAGGAAGTTATACCAATAGGACAAAATCGTGAGGTTTTCAGGTAAAAGATACAACATCTCGATAGTTAAGAGTTTAGGTTGTTATATGAAAGACCGTAGACTGGCGACAAAGGTAGAAAGAACCATTGTCGGATGGAAGTCCAACAATTAGGAGCCGGGTGGAAGCTTGATGTTAGTGGCTTGGCTGAAGTCTAACGTCAGTTGGTGGCCAAGCGCAATTCTGGCGATAGTTGTGAGCCAGGCGGAGGTTCGACAAAAGTCCTACGACAATCAGTAACCGGGAGAAAGTCCGACGATAGTTGGTGGTAGAGCAGAAGTTTAGCATCTTTCGATGTACGGGTGGAAGTCTAACGGCAGGCGAGAGTTTGGCGTCGGGTAGAAGTTTAGTGTCGGGCAAATGTTCGGCGTCCGACGGCAGCCAGGCGTAAGTCGGTGACGGGAGAAAGCCCGACGTCGGGTAGAAGTCTAACAGAAGTTCGACGACTGGCGGTGGTTCGGCAAAAGTTCGGGCAGTGGTCGAGGAGGAGCTTGGTGACATGAGAGATCTAAGGTCTCTCTTCTTCTTCTCCTTCTCTTCTTTGCTTGGTCCTCTCACTTCCTCCTTCGGTCCCCCCTCAATGAAAAATGAGAGGTCCATTTACAATTTTCTAAACATGGCATTGCCAATAAATAGGAGAGAGATTAAGGATAAATTTGGAGTGGTTTGAATGGACGGTCGATGTTGATTCCCTTGATTATAGACCTTTTGTTGGGCGTTGGAATATATTAATGATATCAGAATTTGACGATCTTGGGCTCGTTGGATTTTTCTCATTGAGCCGCTCGATTCGACTATAAGCATGTCATGTTTGGAAACCATTTGGTATTCCAAATTATGGTTTGAACCTTCCAAATATGCTTCAAGTTTTCGATTTGGATCTATTGGGGCTTGGATTGAGTCGAATTCGGTGTCATTGTGTTTGTCTTTTCGAGACGTTTAGTTCGACTATAAGTTTGTTGAAATTGGAGTTCATATTGAAATTTAATTTCAAAATTTTCCAACTTGATTTTACCTCAAGCCCGATCAAGAAAAATTTTTAATGATATATCAATTACTTTGAATTTAACTTTTTTATCTTCTCAATTAATAAGTTAATTTATTTATAAACCTGTAAGGATTAAATTATTATATTATAATTTTGTAATTCATAATATATATTTCAATAATTTTATCAACTCATCATTTATTTAGATTATAAACCTACTACAAATATTTTATTAATTGAAAGGATGGCCCAAAGCTAATTCCATCTCAAATTTCATGCAAAGAGCTTATGAACAGTTAGGTAAAAAAGGTAAATGCCAAACTCAAACCATTGATCTCTACCCTCAAACAAAGGAGCATATCAAAGCTATGGTCAATGCATATCAATTTTGCAACAGTTTTTTACATAATGCAAAGAGCTTATGAGTACTTAGGTAAAAAAGGTATACGCCAAACTCAATCCATTAAGCTCTACCCTCAAAACAAGGGAGCATATGAAAGCTATGGTTAATGCATAACAATATTGTATCATTTTTTCACATAAAAACTAAAGCTCTTACAATATTTAAAATAGCAGCTTTTATATGATTCTACCAAATTGTTATTTTTATGCAACAACACAACACAACAAAATATAGTATAATACTACAAAAGATAATAATGTCAAACTAAGCCCTATAATAGTATCAAGGGTTAGCTAATAAGTAGTGATCACCTAAAATGTATTTTCTAGAATGCAATTTAGGAGATAACCGATAGAACTAACACTATAAAAATGAAGAAATTAGAAACATCATTAAAATTATGGAGAAACAAACCGGTGAGAGCTATTGTTTCTTGTAACTGCTTTTGGCCTGTCATCATCTCAACCTCACCACCAAATTTTATATCAGAAACCTCCTCTTCTAGGGATGCCTTCAATGCAACTTCAGCATGGAAATATGCTTCTGCAACCACAGTGTCAGTAGGAAGTTCCCTCCTCAGAATCTCATAATCTCTAACAGCCTCCATCCACTGTTCAAGCTAAAAGATAGAGAAAATCAATGATTAACCATTTTTCACACACTTCCATTGTATAAGGATTTAACGTCTCACCTTTGCATAAGAGGCTGCTCGTCTGAGAAGAGCCTTAACATAACCAGGTTGAATCCGTAAAGCCTCATTGCAGTCCTCCAATGATTTCTCCCAATGGCCAAGCTTGGAATGACAAGCCGCTCTATTGCAATACAGAACTGGGTTTGACGGGTCATATTTAAGGCCCTCACTATAAGCTATGGAAGCATCAGCAAATTTTGCAGAATTGAAAAACTCATTCCCCTGGGAGCGTGCCCTTACAACAGAATTCACATTGTTCCACATCACAGAAATTTCTACATTACGGGGATCTAGTTGCCGAGCTTTCTCAACCGATGCCACTGCATTCTCAAACCTGGAAAATTTCCACCATCCATACTCATCACCTAATATCTCAATTTATCATCCTTCAGAAGTTGAAACTCAATTTTATTAGCTCACCTTCCTAACGCCATTTCAACTTGAGCCCGTACAAAGTAGATATAGGAATTGGAGAGCATACCAAGAAATTTGGAGTGAAAAGATAAAGACCATCCAATTTCGTACTTGAATGCATATGATAAAGTTGAATCAGCCTCTACTAGATGATGAAGCCGGAGAAGGGCTTCTGCTCTCAATGCATTTATCTGTTAAATCCAACAAAAAACATCAACGATATTCACATTTGTTGAAAATAGCATTCCAGTTGATAAAAGCATAACTTACGAAAAGGGAACTGTCTGCTCCAGCTGCAGTAACAGAATCCGCTTCCCTCAAAGCACTCTTCCAGTCCCCCAACCTGCGAAATTCAGCCCATCTTCCCAGATGTCTCTCTACTGTTTGCAGTTTCAGTACCTCAGTATGATCTGGCTGTTGTCCAACCAACAAGAGGTGTTTCCGGGCAAAATCAACTTGCCCTAGCCTACAAAGTAAAAATGAATTGGCCAATCATCTACATGATCTGTAATAGCTGAAATGCTAGCAAAGCAAAGACTGTTAGTGCTTATACAGTGAAAGATTTGATGGCCATGGCTATGGAGTCGACAAGGTGCGAAAAGATATGAAGTTCCTTTACAATAGCCGTAGCCAATTCACCATCCTGAGGTGCACATCCATATTAAAGAAAGAAAGATGCAGTGAAAACAAACATGTTTTGTTTCAAGTAAAACTGAAAACAAAACAAACACAAAGCATAATCAAAAGAAACATAAATAAAAAAACAAAGCAAACACAAAACAAGTAGAAAACAAAACGCACACAGACATGATTTTAAGTTTAAGTAGTTATTACCCACCCAGAGAATGAACACTCTAGGCAAACAATTATATAGAGGCAAGCATGAAACGTGCGGAAATTGGGTTTAGCATACCCACGCCCCTTAATGATGTAGGAATCCTGCGGAAGATGGTTAGTGCGAGCAGAAAATGAATAAAACAGTAACTCAAACGTTACTAAGAACCTGTATCAGTGTAAAACAGAAAAATCAAGCGTGTATTCCTCCTATCTTTCCTGATTCCTAATACTTATTTCCCTAAGAGACAATACTAAGAAAGTACAAACAGCCACTAGCGCACTCATGTGCAGCAGTACTTGAAAATAGTAAATAGTGTAGCAAATCCTAACTAAGAATTACAGAGCATGTGGGTTTAAACTGTCCCACCAAACCACCTAACTTAAGATGCCCCGCATCATTCACCCCTACCACAAAAAAGACTGTTATCCCCTGCTTCAATTGTAATGTTGCTATCTTCTGGTGGTGCATAAGGGAAGATATATGCAACATTGAAAGTGTGAGATGTGTTAAAATCATTTGGAAAATCAAACACATATGCGTTGTTATTGATTCGGTGGGCAACTGGAAATGGTCCAAATTTGCGACGACTGGGCTTTGAATAGGCTCCTGAAGGACAGCGTTCTTTTTGCAAATGGACTAAAACAAGATCTTCAGGATTAAAAATCTTCTCCCACCTATGAATATCAGCTTTTGGTTTGTACTGATCATTGAACTGCTGAAGCTTCATGCGAACAATAGATAGCATATCAGTGAATTGCTCGAACATGTTGGATGTAGTTTTGTTCACACAAATTGGAAGGATAGCAATATCCACAATTGTGTTTGGTATTTTGGTATAAACAATGCTAAAAGGGAACATACCCGTCGACCGGTTGGGCATGGAGTTGAATGCAAATTCTACTTGTGCTAGTATTTCGTCCCAAAGCAAACAACGAAGTTTCCTAGTGTACGATTTATCACTTCCGTTTGGCCATCTGTTTGCAAATGATACGATGAACTGAGCTGTAGTTGAGTGTTCATTATCTTTTATAATTCCCGCCAAAAACGACTTATAAACTTAACATCACGATCTGATGTTAGTGATCGTGGAATACCATGTAATCTTACAACTTCATGAAAAAAAAAAAGATTAGCTACATTCAAAGCGTCAAAGGATTTCTTACAGGCTATGAAATACGCCATTTTAGAGAAGTGATCTACCACCACCATGATTGAATCGTTCCCTCGACATGTGCGAGGCAAGCCAAGCACAAAATTGAATCTTAAATCCTCCCAGATAGATTCCGGTATAGGTAAAGATAAATAGAGGTCAGTGTTCTGCCCGCCGCCCGTGTAGCTTTGACAAACCGAGCATCTTTCTACATATCGAACAACATCTTTTCTTAGATGGGGCCGAAAAAAATATGGTTTGCAATTGTGAAATGGTATTGTCGCGACCCACGCAAGCGGCCAGTCCTCCACCATGCACTTCCTTGATAATTTGTTGATGCCACGATGACTTAGGAATAAAAAGTACATTTCCCTTAAATAGGTAGTCGTGCCTTATTGAATAATCCTCGATAGGTTCTTTATTGATACAGCAATGCCAAATATCACAAAAGTCACTATCATCTGGGTATAGTTCCTAGAGATATTCTAAACCAATGAATTTTGTTTGGAGTTGTGTGAGTGAACTGATCGGCGGGTCAAGACATCCGCTACCCTATTTTGAGCCCCATTTTTGTGTTTTAACACAAGTGTAAATTTTTGTAAAAACAAAATCCATCTAGTGTGCATTCGATTGATGTTTTTTTGTGTATTGATATATTGTAATGCCTTATGATCACTTCAAAGAACAAAATCTTGTTGAAGAAAATAGTGTTCTTGTTGTTTTAAAGCTCTAACTACAGCGTATAACTCTTATTCATATAAAATCCACCGCTGCCTTGCTGCACATAGTTTCTCACTGAAAAAATTGATGGGCCTATTCTCTTGAGTTAACACTGCTCCAATGCTGACTGTTAAAGCGTTTGACTCCACGGCAAACGGCTTATCAAAATTAGGTAATGCTAAAACTGGTGCTGAAGTTAAAGATATTTTAATGCTTTCAAAACTTCACTTTTGTTCTTCTCCCCACAAGAACTTTAATTTTAGAACATCAGTTATTGGTGCCATGAGAATACTAAATCATTTAATAAATTTTCTATAACATGAAAACTTCGAATATTAGTGAATGTTTGGGGCGTCAACCACTCTTGGATAGCTGAGATCTTACATGGGTCTGTACTAACAACCTCTGTCGAAATTTTGAAACCCAAAAATGACACCAGTTTAGTTTCAAATTCACATTTTGACAAGTTTAGATATAATTTATTCCTCCACAATGTTTCAAAAATACCTTTTAAATGGTCCAAATGTTCGCCAAGATTTTAACTAAAAACCAATATATCATCGAAATATGCCACACAACAACGGTTGAGAAAAGGTTTTAAAACCTCATTCATTAAATGCATAAACGTAAATGGTGCGTTGCACAAGCCAAAAGTCATTACCTTCCACTCATAAAGACCTTCACAAGTTTTAAAAGCGGGCTTCCATTCAGCCCCCGGCCTGATTATAATTTGATGGTAACCACTTCAAAGATCCAACTTGGAGAATATCGTAGACCCTGCTAATTGCTCGATCATCTCTTTCATTCTGGGCATTGGAAATTTGAACTTGATTGTAATATTGTTAATTGCTTGGTTGTGCATACACATTCTCCAACTCCCCATCTTTTTTTGGCACTAGCAAGATCGGAATAGCACAAAGACTCGGACTGTGTTGTATCAATTGTTTATCTAACAATTCATCCATAATCTATTGCAAAATTTTGTTATCATTAGAACTAATCTTTTAGTGTGGTCGGTTTGGTAAAGTGGCGCCTGCTGTGAATTCAATTTGGTGTTGAATGGTTCGCAGGGGAGGAAGTTTTGGACTGCGTCTCCGAGCATATATCTACAAACTGCTTCAATAAACAACTCAATTCAGTGGGTAAATTGGAGTTGTGAACACTAACAAAAGTCTCTTTCACCACTAGTGCTAAAATTTTGGAAGTTTCCTTCCATGCATTGAGTAACGCTGAAGCTGAGACAGTGAATAAGGCCATTTTATTCTTTATATTGTTAGCTTCCTGTACTGCATTACTTGGTAATAGGCGCAGGCGTCTCCCCTTCCACTCAAAGGCATAAGTATTGGCACGACAGTCGTATAGTGCCCTGACATCATATTGTCAGTCGGCCTAAAATAATGTGGCAAACATCCATCTCTAATACATCGTATAGGACTTCACTAGTATAGTGCTTTCCAATGGAGAAGTAAACCCGACATAATTCATTCACTAATATTTCCATCCCTTTATTCACCCAGCTGATTTTGCTTCTTTTTTTTTTTGAAAGAAATGCAATCAGCATTAGAATTACTAGACCAAAAGAGCCTAGATACAAGCTACATGAGAGTTGAACTCCAAAACACTTTCCTCCTTTACAAGTTTAACAAAGGAGGAAGGAAGTGAACTCTCACAAAATAAGTCCCATATGAAATCATAAGAAAATGATAGGTTAGCACAATAATCAGCTAACCTATTACAGTTTCTACCAATAAATTGAAAAATGACATTATTCCCATACCTCAAAAGCAAAGAAATCTTCATCTTCAATGTCTCCAACTAGCTTCTTCTCTTTGCTGTACATATTGTGAAGAAATTGTATGACATTTTTATTCCCTCTATAATAACACATTTGGCATTGTCTATACAATTATTCAAAACTTCTTTTAATGAATTGAAAGAATAAAGTTCCACTTGTGCTATATCCCAATGCATCCCGTAAAAACCAAATGCACAGACAAATCTTCCTTTATGGTCTCTTACAATTTCTCCAATGCCTGCTCCATAGTTACTCCTCAACGCTACATCTATATTGATCTTGTACCACTCGGGTGGTGGGGGACGCCAGAAATCTGTAGACAATCCATTAGATTGGCCAGCATCCCAGTTCTTCGAGAGTACCTTGTTCCTTTTGTCCATACAAACAAGGCTTATCACATTTGCAGCAATAACTGAATCACAATCTTCTTTCTTCCCATGTTTAACTTTATTTTTGTTGCTCCAAGAAATCCATAACATAGAAAAATAAAGCTTTACCATCATAGGATTTTTGACAGACAAATACTTCAGCTCATCCATACAATGCTGAAATGAATTGAATAGAGGAATATGAAAACCCCATTTCCTCAGAATACAAATCACTTTTAACAATTTTGGACAATTATTGGTCACATGGTCCAAAGTCTCCACCTCATCACATCCTCTTGGGCACAAACTGCAATCGGTCAGCTTTCATCTCATCAAAAATTTTGCTGTTGGAATAGCATTTTTGCACTCTCCAAATGAACAATTCCACCCGAGCATTTAAATTCACCTTATGAATCCATGAGAAAAGATTTTCACCAGCAACACCCTTCATTGTATCTTCCTTAATCAAAGCATAAATCGTTTTTCCTGACAGTTTCTTTTTCAGCTCCATGAAATCCTCCTCTTCATCTTGGTAAATCTGGATGTTACTAATCACATACACCAGGTTTTTCACAAAAAATAGAAGCAGCTTTTC